AATAATAATGATAATAATAATGATGATGATGATGTTGATGATAATAATGATAATAATAATGATAATAATAATGATGATAATAATAATGATGATAATGATGATGATAATAATGATAATGATGATGATGATGATAATAATAATAATAATAATAATAACAACCACCTTTATTTAACCAGGTTTATCCCATTGTGATCAAATGATCTCTTACAATAGAGACTGGCAAAGACAGGCAGCATACAAAAAGACAGACTCAGTTACAACACAGTCACAATAAACATAAACTTACAATAGAACAAATGACTCATATAAAACAATTGCAACAGTAATAACAGAGAGTTATTAGAGGGAGGAGTAGATGTTCAGATTAGGAAGTAGAGTTTTTTGTACCATCGAGTATGATTTCAGTTTTTATTGTTCAGTTGGAGGAAGCTGTTATAAAACCAGTGATTGAGTCTCAGTGAGACAATCAGTAGCTATGTTTACATGCACGTAATTCTTTGATTGGATTGAAGTGTATTCAGATTAAATAATGAATCCAGTGTTTACACGGGCACAATCCGATCCTGGTGAGTGTTTACGTGCACCAGGCTTTTATTTAGGATGGAAGCACTGACATGTGCAGAGTTAACTTTCCCTAAAAAACACACATGTTGAACATAAACAGCTTCTGAGCTGAGAATGAACCTGCGACAGATTTTAATAATGGTGGAGACGTTACTGCTCTACCTGGTTCAGCTGCAGGTGATGAGCTTTTTTTATTTGCGAATCGGCGCAGGTTATGTCTTCCTTTTTTATTGAGTGAAAAAACTGGAGGAATATTTTGTGCTGCTGGAAACAGCGCTGCTGTCCCTCCCTCCACAAAAGAGAAGAAACCGCTGCAGTCAGGTCAGTTTTCCACAATCAGAATTAGATAAGTGTTTACATGCAACCTGTTCGGATTATCAATCGGGATAAACCATCTCTCTCATTCCGATTACAAATTCATTCGGACAGAGCTGAATCAGGTCAGAATAATCTGAATGGGATGTTTACATGATGCATTTTTATTCTGAATGGCCGTTTAATCCGATTATTTATGTCCATGTAAACGTAGCTAGTGAGAAATTGAGAAAGTCAGTCAGTAGCTGCGTTTCCATTGCAAATGTGCGCAAAACTTTGTTGATATTCTGTTAATGTCGAAAAAACACAGTTTCACAACTGTGGTGTTTCCATTAAGTAAGAAATGTTATTAAAGTCACGTGAATACGTTTGTTCTCATGATAAGTCATTACAAACATGGCAGCGATGGATGTAAACCAGGGGTGTCAAACTCCAGTCCTCGAGGGCCGCTATCCTGCATGTTTTAGAGGTTTTCTTGCTCCAACACACCTGATTTTTATCGCTGGGTAATTAACAGGCTTCTGCCCAATTTGAAGAGTTAATTCAATCACTGAATCAGGTGTGTTGGAGCTGGAAAACCTCTAAAACATGCAGGATAGRGGCCCTCGAGGACTGGAGTTTGACACCCCTGATGTAAACACATAGCATGTTGCTACCACGACACTAGCGCTCATCATCAGAGGAGACGTCGGCGTCTTTTATCGAGGCTTTCCAGAGACAAGTCCCTACTTGGGAGCGGRTACGTATGCTGTGTTTTTGGGAAATTGTAGTCGGTGAGTTTACCATTTTATACTACTTCTGTGATATTACTACTACTTCTACTTCCTGCTATCTTCTTCATCATCGTCTTTTTCACCAGTAGAAACAGCCGGTTGTTGATCACGTGACTCCTGTGATGTGAAAAAAGTGTTTCCATTGCAGTTTCGCAAAAAACACCAATTTCGATACGGCCGAAAAACCACCTCATCCTAGTGCAAAAACATTTTGTCGAAAAACATAATTTTTTTTTTGAAATTGACGTGTTTCAATTGAGCAAATTTATTTTTGACATTCTAATTTGCGCATTTTCATGGTCAGTGGAAACACAGCTGGTGAGGGTGAAGGGTGGCAGTGTGGAGTTAGGTTTGGTAGACCAGCAGAGCAGGGTGTCATCAGCGTAACAATAAACTTCTGTCAAGTATTACAGTATCTTCAGTAAAACTCAGACACTTTGTCCCTGTATTACATGGAAAAACACAAGTTTCTTGTGTCTCTTTCAGACCCAGCCCAGCTGGTCTTCATGTGGAGTCAGTCTGGTCTCTCTGAGTCAGGAACTTTGGGTCCATCTGAACCACTGGCGTTGTCTTTTCTCCAGGGTCCGTTCAGACCTGTACCTAAGGTCTGTCCTTCTGTCACAGACCAAGCTGCTGGAGGAAATGAAGCAGAGTCTGAACCTCTTTGGTCTGCAGCTCCTGGTTCTGATGGAACAGTACATATGTGGTGTTCTGTCTTCGATAGGCCAGACTGAGTCCGACTCTTTATCCAGAAATGTGTTGGAGGATACTTTAGCAGGAACAGACCTGTACAACCAGGTGGTGGAGGAGCACAGGACTCACCTGTCTGCCTCTGTCCTGAGGCAGTCAGCTCTACGGCACTGTGCTGAACCCTTCACTAGTCTTCCAGCATCTGACCAGCATCAGCCTGCTGCGTTCTCAGTCAAAGACTTGCTGACCATTCTGGCTGTGCATCATGCAGAAGTAGCAGCCAGGCACTTACACTGTAGGATTTCTGAGCAACACTGCCAGGCTTGTAAAGCTCATTGCAGCTACACATCCCTCTCTGATAACTTCAGTCAGGGGTCTGGGTGCAGCTGTGGGAGGTCTTCCTGGACCTGGAAACAACTGCAGCAGGCCCACCTCACTTGTAACCAACCCAATGCACTGCCATCATCTTCCAAGAAACCCCCTGCCATCATCCCTGACCATCATTTGGACCATCGTCCACCTGGTTTGACCAAGCCACGTCCTTTCAAACAGAAAGAGCAGAACTCCAGAGAGGACCAAGCCAGACCGTGCCATACCTGCATATCCCTGGCTCGTCTCACTCAAACCAGTCTAGAAACTCTGGACTTAGTTCAACCGAATGTAGAGGAAAAGAGGTGTTCAGAGAACTGTGATCTCCTGAGAGCCTGCAGCAGTCATCATCACCTCCCAGCCCTGCATCTCTGTCAGCTGGACCATTCTGTGGAGCTCCTGCTGCATCTCCTCATCTCCTCCACCTCCCTGCTGGCTCCTCCGGTGCTTCACACGCCAACCGAGCAGCTGGTCCCAAATACCAATCCCGAGAGTTCAGGCTCTCCCCTCAGGAATGCAGCTCGCTCAGAGGTACGGTCTAACGTCAGCCGCAGACTGACCAGGAGTCGCAGTGCTGATGGAGTCCGACAGGACTGGACCGAACCGGATGAAGCAGGAGGACCAGACATCACCGACAGGTAAACATTTTGTTTTTATTCACATCTTTTCACCAGTCTTATCGTCGTAACAAAAAATGATCATGGACCATGATGAGATCCCAGTTCCAGCTTAGGGAACAAAAAGGTTTAGTTATTTTTACTATGATCGGTAGATAAAGAGGTTTATTAATGGGGATGTTGTGCTTTTCTAGCATACCTGACAGATGATAACAGCCAAACCATGATGACCTTTGTGTTTTCCAGCCTTCGTATTTGGAGTGATGGGAATGTGGAGAAAAACGAAAAAGGTCAAACAAAGACTACAACCGTGGAGGCTGACTGTGTTTGTGGGCCTCGCTCGGTACAGTGGACGGACTTTGGTCGGTCGCTGCTTCTCGATGATCTGCTGGAACATTATCACGCTTTGCTGTGGAGTCTCTGCAGCAAAGCATTGTGGGTAAAACTACACATGGGCCAAACAGGAAACGCTGCAGGCAGCAGCAACCTTCAGGACCTCAGTGGATTCCACTTTCTGCACAGGGTCTCTCAAGTCCTAAAGACCGGTAACCCACTCTAAATTACTCAGGTTGTTTAAAGTTAAAGGTTAACAATATAAATAAAGTATGTGGATGATGAACGTGTGAATGAGAGAGGTGTAAAATTTATCTGGCCTGGGTACACATTGGGATTCCCCACAGGAGGAGTTCACAAACTAAATTAAAAAAGTGTCCTGATGCATCTCAGTAATCCAGGTAAAAAATCAAAGGAAAAAAAAAATTGTATAGGTCCTCTGGATGGGTTCTTCTTTAATGAAACGTTTCGTCTCTCTTCCAAGAGACTTCTTCAGTCTGAGAGTTTCAGGCAAATTCAGGCTTTTATGTCCTGCCTCCAGGTGACTGATACTCACATGTATCAGTACATGTCACCTGAAACTCTCAGACTGAAGAAGTCTCTTGGAAGAGAGACGAAACGTTTCATTAAAGAAGAACCCATCCAGAGGACCTATACAATTTTTTTTTTCCTTTGATTTTTTACCTGGATTACTGAGATGCATCAGGACATATCTGTGAGGTTAATTTTTGGGTAAATGGTCAGAGTTAGGC